AATATTACTCAGCCATAAGAAAAGATGAAATACTGCCATTTGCGATAACGTGAATGGATGTTGAGATTATTACACCTAAGCAAAATAAGTCAGACAGAAAAAGTCAAGAACCATATGATTTCACTCATATGTGGGATATAAAACTGAAAGCAACAAATGAATAAGACAAACAAACAAAAACTCATAGACACAGACAACAGTTTAGTGGTTACCAGAGGTTAAGGAGGAGGGAGGTGGTAGATGAGGGTAAAAGAGATCAAATATAGTGTGATGGAAGGAGAACTGACTCTGGGTGGTGACACACAATGCTATGTACAGATGATGTATTATAGAAACGTTCACTTGAAACCTATATAATTTTACTAATCAATGTCACCCCAATAAATTCAATTAAGAAAAAAGAAACCATCAACAAAACAAAGAGACAGTCAACCGAATGGGAGAAGATATTTGCGAAAAACAAACAAAAATGAAACTGCTATAATGATCCAGAAATTTAAATCTAGAAATTTAATTCTAAATTATCAACTAATATGGTTTATGCAACTTTTTACATCAGTAACTAGCTTTGAAAATTTCACGGTCTATATTTCAATGACAAAAGATCTCAATCTATAAATCTTTTGTTTTAGGACAGTATTACATTTCTTTTACACCTAATAGATGATTCTTCCTAGTGGGCTACTACCTTTCTTACTTTTTCTTTTTTTAGATAACCAACAGATGATGTGATTAACCTTATTTTGTATCATACTCTGGGAGACAGAATACTAACGTGTTAGGGGTCCAAACAAAACGACATCCAGTGCCTTGAGCTGAAGTTTTTGTCTGTGACTCCGGTCGCTGATTTTCAACTGAGAGATCATAAATGAAGGTTCATGCACTGCTATCCTGTTCATTTAAAAACATACAAATATATTAAATGAAAATATTTCTCATATGTAAATTTAAATATTTGAGCAACATATTTAATCTTTACATGGTAGTGATGGTTCCAGTAAAAGCTCTTCCATGTGTGATATAAGTTTATTACATATATCAAAAACCTTGTCAGTGCAAAAGTAGCTGTACAAACACTCCAGTATGTTATTAATTTAGTTGCTAGAGTGATATTCTTGTTTTCTGAGGTTATTTTACGCTATAACTACTATGACTTAAACATTTACAAATTCAAAATATTTTATAATCATAGTTACCTTTGACGTTTTACTATCATTTCACAAAGAATAAGAAAATTGTAATTTACTTAACATCAACAGCTGACTTTAAAAAATATTTCTCAATTTTAGATCACGTTGCTTTTCTTTGAAAGTATCTAAAAAGTCCACATCTTTACACTATCATGTTTAAACTGTTTAACAATTAAACAAAGTCCATCAAAGTAATCAGTGGGGAGTAAGAAGTCATCACTGGTTGCAGAAATAAAATGAAGGATTTATGTAATAAGAAATACTGAACCATTTTATTAGCAATGAAGAAAGCATGTAGGGGGCCAAAGGCACAGGAGAAATAAGGAAACAAAATCACTTTGTTTTAGACTTCAAATCCAGTAGTCAACTAAGATTCCTTAACAACCAACTATGATGCTAATAAATATCTTATAACACAAGTCTAACAATAATAATATAACTGTTAATAACAATGACAATAAAAACAAGCATGTACTATATGCCGGACCCTGTGTCAAGGGCTTAATTAAAATTTTAAAAAGAAAAAACAAAAAACCCTTTATATTTTATATAATTTTATATAATATATATAAAATTCCCATTTTATAGATGAGGAAACTAAGGTAGTAAGAGGTTGAGTAACTTGCTCAAATTACATAATTAGTAAAAGGTAAGGCAGAGATTCAAACCCAAGTATGTATGATTCCAATGACTGTATCTGAACCACTATATTTTATTTAAGGCACCTCTGAATATGGAGCAGTTACAGGAACGTCTATAAGGCTTCTATAAAACTTTATAGAGAGTAAAGAACTCTACCTTTCCCTTTACAAAATGCCTTCCTTCATCTTCTCCACAAGTACCTTTTGTGTATGG